CATATGACGGAGTATTAGAGCCAGGCTAGAGATTTTTGTTTTTGTTGTATTATTATTAGTTGTAATATTACTAGACTTAAGTCGTGATATTACGAGAATAAAGTCATAATATTAGAATAAAGTTGAAAAATAATGAGAATGAAATTATCATACCACAACCCGTTTCAGGAGAGCTTCGAGCTCTGACAAGCATATGACTATTTCCACCAAACAGCAACCTCAGTCCACTATGACATCCTGCCCAATTTGATGCTGGTGTGCTAAAAGATTTTCTAAATTGTCAAACTGATGCTAAAGTATAACTTCACATGATCCTCGACATTCCTCATTTTAGGGAAGAAAGTGCTTCTTGTAAGAGTTGTCATCAAATACAACTTTATTGTAATATTAGGACTTAATTCTCATAATATTCTGATTTTATTTTCATAATGTTACAACTTTATTGTCATAAGTTTACAACTTCATTCTCGTAATGTTATGACTTAATTCTAGTAATTTTATGACTATTCTTGTTGCGACTTAATTCTCGTAATTTTACGACTTTATTCTCTTAATGTTACGACTTAACTCGAAATAAATAACAAAATCTCTAGCCTTGCCCTTATGCTCAATATTTTTAAAGCTTTCAAAAATCTGACAGAGGTTTTTGAAAACCAGTGACATAAACAAATTGATGTTCAGATTTTATGCATATAAACTATGTTTTTATTGAACTTCGATTAATTTTGTTATTAGGCTACATTTAAAAAAAAAAAACAGTATGTCTGAAAATTAGCTTTTGGGGCATAAAGAACATCTATCTTATATTTTCTATGAACTTATGGGTTTTCGGTGATGTTCCGGATTCGTGGAGCTGTTTATAACGATTAGAGCTGGCTTATTTTTGAAACTACATAAACATTCAAACTATCTTATAAATTCGTTTTCCTGAAACGCTATTATTGGATCTAATTAGTTAATGGGTTTATTTTCGATGTTAGTGTAAAGATGGATGTCTTTTTTCTTATGTGGTTTTAAGCCATTAAACCAAAGATTATGTCATTGTCCATATAACAATGATGACTTATGGCTCCAGAGAGAGAAGTTATATCAGTCAGGCTGAATAGCTTGCTAAATTAAATTCACTGGCTCTCATGCAGGCTAAGAACCCTGGAGGACCTTGTTGTGACTCCATGCAATTTACATGTGTCTCTCACTGTCCACCTTTTGCCACCCACACCTCCACATGTGCATATATTTCTCTCTGAGGTGTTGGAATGTACTTCAAATAATGAGAGCTTCTTTTTTATGTGCTAAAACACTTGTTTTCAGGTTGTCAGTGAAAGCTGATTTGAGTTTGTTGTGCTGTATGCGTGAAATTTAGGATCTGACACACAAATCAATCAGCTGTCTTTTCATTAACAGCTACCTCAACACTGAACTCCCAGCTCCAGCACCTGCAGCAGCTCCAGCAAATGCAGCAGCACCACCAGCAGCAGCAACAGCAGCAGCAGCATCATCACCAACAGACTCACTCCCACACCCAGAACCAGCTACCACCCCAGCATCACATGACTCCACCCAGCCAGCAGCATACCTCAGTACCATCTCCAGGTTCCACCTGCTCCTCCACCTCTGGACACCCGCAGCCGTCCCCACCACCAAGGCAGAATCAGTCGCCAGCTCGCAGCCTTCCTTCCCCAGTCACTCCACCCATGCCTCTGCCAGTGAGTCCTTACTTCTTGGATGTTTTTGTAATTAGCAGTAATCTGGCTTTACACTGGTTCCGATACATCTAATGAGATTGGCCCTAGCATGAATCAGTTGTTTGACTACATTGCTTAAGCTTACAGTATATAGTATTTGTGAAAAAAATCTGTTCACAAATCATACTTTTGCATTGTAATCAGTACTACAACTACAGACAGATGAGAGGCTATGATTACTTTTAATTGCATTGTTCTGGTCATTGTTCAATGCAACTTTATTATAGATATCAGATGTACCCAGAAACCTGATACTTGCCTAGATCTTAAAAACAAAAACAGTCAGTCCTTCTACAAAGACTAGAGTTTGTGTTTAATATTTTTCAGCTATTCATAATTAAGAAACAAAAATAAAAGAACAATAATAAGCTTTAAAATGTATCAGTTTTTAGTAAATGCATTTAATTGATTTACTAGCTTTAATGCAGAATCAGATTTTTACTTGATATCAGCAGATTCCCAGTTTTACATTAGAACATCCCCATTAAATTAAATGCAAAAATGGACAGTCACCTATGTTATTCCAGTTACATTGAGGGTTTGGGTGACCTAGGATAAACTAAAACAAAATGAAAAGTGAATCAACATTTCAGAGTTTTTTAAGCATTTTGTAAGTTGTTTGAACAACAATATTACAGAGACCAATATTTTCTATTACTGGTTTTTATTGCTTATGATACATATAGAGTATTTTGAATGTCTCAAGTAATCAACTGATCATTAAGACATCTTCAGAATATATATTTCCAAACCATTAAAGTAATATTTCTGGTGATAAATACAGGGCAGCTAGCATCCTGCCTTTCTCCAAGTAACTGCTGTAAATGGTCATCAGGCCATCCTGAAGGCTATGGTAGGAAATGTGACAATAAGAAGATGATATATGGATGGGTGTTTGTACTTAGATGGTATAAGCCGCGAGAAAATAAAAAGAGAAATTAGAACATTTGGTTCTTAAAGACATTAGTCTATTTAAATTTATTCTGTGAAGTGCTAAACACAACTCTTCTAAACACTTCATATCTATTAAGAGTCTGCGATGAAATTAAGCCTGGTGGCCTCTGAGTATTTATTTGGATCACAAGGCAATGCAGCTTTTTGTTGAGGCTTTGCTCCCCTTGAGGATTTTTAACCCCTCAATCAGAGATGCAGAATGCATTTCCTTGTGTTGCCATTTCTCAATTTACCTATCCTTAGTCTTAGTAGACATAATCATACCTTTAATTTTTTGTTGTCACCTTTTTTGTCTATCCATCTCTGCCCCTCTGTGTGTCTGCCTGTCACTGTGTGACCATAATAACCTATTTTATATCCCTGTGGTTTCATTTCTGGTGGAAACTGGCCAGGGTCGCCTTTCCGTCCCCGGTCACATTCATCAGCGTCAGACCCTTATTGGGTTGTGGTGCGAGCTGCTTTATGGCCGGGATGAGTTGGGCTATTTGTTTCCCCTCGCAGCCCTCTCCGGCCCTGTCACGGCCTGGTGAGACTCAGCAGGAAAAACAGCCTTTGGATTTAATGGGCTCCAAAGGCTAGCCACTATATTGCACTAAACGCACCATCCAGTCTGAGTGACCAACACAACAGATTAGCACATTCAAACTGCAATGGGACAAGCTCAAAGACACAAAAACCCGGTCAACTGGGTCTAAATTTAAGATGTACTTGGAATCCACCTCCTGAGAAAGTTTTCAGACAGCAGATGAGATGACCAGTTGTCAAAAACCCGTTTTACTTCATATAGACTGTCTTCTTTCAAAAGTAGCATTGTGGGTGATTATGATGACTGAGGACAGACCTCTCTTTAGAGGGCAAAGAGGCCACACCAGGTATCATTAAGATATTGTCTCATCAAATAGGATTAAGGAATGTGTTTGTGTATGGGAGAGGCAGAATTGCTATAAAAGGCTTAGTTTCTGGGGGGTCATTTCTGGGATTGCCAAAGAGAGTGTCACCCAACACGTGACTCGCTCAAGGACAGGCCGTGGCCCTCAGGACACGTTCAAAGTTACAGTGGGATTTAAACCCCACCTCCAACCAGTTGGGTCAGCGACTGGATATCCACTGAGATAAAATAAAAAAACACCCTGAATAAGCTTAGTTTTAAATAGAGAAGCAGCTAACAAATATTTAATGTTGAAAGCTATTTTATTATAATTCATTTTTTCAACAGTGGAGTTTGGCATTTATTGTTAATTCCAAAATCTAAAAGACTTAAATATTTAAGTATGAAAATACCTATTTATAAAGTTCCCTGTTGCCTGATGCCTGCTCAGGAAGTGGGTTGATGTAATTACAGTAGCTGGACTTTCTAAAATAGGTACTGGTTTTAACCCCTGCTTTTTTTTTATTATATTTAACTGTGTTATAATATAGATTTGGTATAGTCTAATTTAAATCTGAGTTTTCACTGGATTTGACTAATTTTGTTACATAATCCTGGCTATAATTTGGTTCCCTTTGTGTGTTAAAATGGTATTTATTGTTAACAGACGATATACTGCATGCAAAAACTGAATTAAACTAAATATCAAATATGAAACATCTGAACTGAAACTTAACCCAAAACAACCATATTAGGTCACTTATCAACACAGTTCCTAAGGTTAAAAAAAGCTTCAATTTTTTTCGTTCATTTGAAATGAAACATTTTGAAATGTAACATTACCATGTGACATATATGTATGCTGAAACCAGTTACGTTCCAACAATGTAGCTCAGCTCAATTATGATAAAAAAAAGTATTTATGTTCACTGAAAGACAGATCAAGAGGTTTTAGTGAATTGGTGATGAGCATTTTCACAGTCAGACTTTAAAAATGTCCTTGTTTTTACCTCTGTGAGTTTGGTCAAACATATTAGGTTACAACAATTTACTTGAATCTAGCTCCAGTAGGAGCTGGTGTAACAGTTTGTCAGCTGCTGCACTCACATATTTCATCTCTGAGATCAGGGCTTTATGCTTGCCAAATTGAAACTTTAACTGTAATTTGGCTTTATTGTCCATTTTTTTTACTAATCTCTGTCCACAATTTCACTTCTAGGCTGATATTACTAATGTTGTTTATATGTCCACATAATGTTCATTCCACATAATACCATCTATTTTGTGTTATCTCCAATAAAACATGATGCTATCAATCCTATTTTTCACAGCTAGAATGTGGTTCTCAAGCTCCTTTTCTCCATAAGGAATAATGGTCACTATAGAGATGTACTGTTATTTTAGTTTACTTAAGCCACAAAACATTTCCGCTGAAACGAAGGTCTTTGCAGTGGCTTCTCCCTCTGTGGATAGGCTTTAATCCCATGCTGCTACAACACCTACTGTGGATAATGATACTAAGTAGCTTTTGCAAACTTTTTCATTGGGTGTTTTCCTACTGTTCTTTGGTGACATGCATTATTCTCATCAAACATGTCTGTGTCTGTCTCCTTCCTAGTAGTATGATTTTATAATTTTAATGCTTCCAAAGAATAGTTTCAGCAGAAACTGTATCATAGGGTGAACTAGAGTTTTTGGAGTTTGGTATTTTACCCCCTAATATCTTCAACATTCAACTCTAGATGAACTTACAAATTTGTCACCTTTTCAGGGAAGTGTTGTTACTTTTCTCTGCATTTAGAAGCTTAAGTCATCACGTGTTTTATACCCAAATAAACTGCCATTTAATGACAATAGAGTGGGTTCTTTGAAACTGTCATGTTAAAAAAAATAAAAATAAATATATATATATATATATATATATATATATATATATATATATATATATATATATATATATATATATATTTTTTTTTTTTTTATCAAAAAGGGAGATTGAATATACAGTAACTTATAGGGGCTTTCTCAACAAGTTTATGTAGATGCTGAACAATGTTGACAAAATGATTTCCTGTAGCAGGCTGTCTTACCAATGGTCTGGAGAAGCCTCTGATTCAAGACACCTTGTTGTTGGACAACAGCCTGATGAAGAGGGTGCTCAAGGTGACATATATCCCAAAATAAGAAGAAATTGGTAAAAATTCTTCTGGCTGCAACACATCCAGCATCTGAAAAACCCATTTTTCTCGGCTCTGATCGGTATTCAGTGGGAACATGAGACTCAGTTCAACCCGCTTATTTATGTGATACCATTGAAAGACACATATGGACGTCACCACACTACATCATTCACGTCTGATCTAACAAAACAACTCTGCTTAAATTCACTAAACATTGTGCAGCAGTGTTGACAGAGATCCATGTGGAACAAAAGAGAAACACAATAAAGCACACTTACTATGCATTGGCTCCGTTCTGTGTTGCTTTCCGTTGTTTACTTTCCTGATTTCTGACACACTGCTGACATCATCAAGACTAACCCAGCGGGATGGCATCACCAGACGCACAGTAGTGTGGGGACAGAGGCCCCTCAGACCCAGCTTTTTTTGCCAATGGGAAAGCAGCCAAATGTCAACTATTAGCGGGTCGAACCTGCGTTCAAAAAATCTGCGTTAAGCCGCTAATTTCAGTAGGAAAGAGGCTTATGTTAAAGCTCTCTAAAATATTAACAGCATTAATGAACACTGATTTGAACCTTTTCATGCACACTGGTCTGTAGTAAATGTGGATGTCCACAATCATTATGGTCTTTTAGTAGTCTTTGACTTTAATTGCAGCAGAGGTTTTTAACAGGTTTTAATTTGTTGTTGGGGTTTTAAATGTTAAAAATAGTCAGAGGATGGCAATTTTAGTTTATTCACGCCTTACCCAGATGACCTGGCCTGTGCTCTAAAGTGCAGTCATAATTACCATAAAGCAATGATAACACCCCCTATTTCCTGCTGGCATTATCCAGACAAGTAGGATCACTCAGCCATTCAACTATTTGCTGCAAACATAATGCCAAGCTGCTTAGAGACAAACATTCATTATGTTCCAATTAACGTCTTATTGTAGCTCCCCTCTCAGGGGAGGCGTG